CGGGGGAGAGGGTTACTAAAAGACTTGTGACTCTCTGATCAACTCTTAACTAATCTGGATGCAAAACCCAAAGTGAATTTGAACTGCTTCCCCTACACAGGTTCATACCCTCTTGCTTCTAGCTGACAGCCACAGGAAAAATGTCATAGGGTTGGGAAGAGGGTGCACAGGCTTAGCCTAAAGATGGACTGTTACTGATCTTTTCTCTCAATGATCAGAAGATTCATAGTTCCCCTGGGCCTAGGAGATCAAGCCACTCAACATTCATTCTCTTTCTTCCTATCCAGCCTCAAGTTAATTCCATGACCATAAACACAGATTACCTTGGCTTGAGTCATGCTCAAGTTTCTTTTTATTTTTTTTCAGGTTGGATAACACCAGAAACAAATTATTTGATTAATATTGCTAGTAGTCACTGAACATTTAATTTAATGAATACCATCAACAAGCCATAGGGGTTTTGCTGCAGGCCACCAAGAACTATTCACTGAATAAATGACAAAAAGAATTATGGCATTATTACAACATAGGATAACTGTCAGATCATGTTTGGGCATCCCTGCTGCTTCTTGGATTGCCTTGATGTTAGTGCCTATTAAACTTAAGCATCCATTTTCAAATTATCCTTGCTTTAATTTTCAGAGTTGCAGAAGAATGAAGATTTTCAAGAACCAAGACAATGGCAACGTTTCGCTTCTGTGGAAATTAAAAAAAAAACAACAGACCAAAATGTTCAGATGTGAGAGCACACTTGGAAAGAAGGATCCTTTCAACAAGAACTTCTGTATATTTTAAAGGACAGTATTTATTTTCAGAGGACACAGGTGTGTCTTTCACCGTAGATACTTTTGTGTAAAGAAGAAGGAACAAATGAAGAGGCATCTGCGGTGCCTCTGAACAGTAGATGCTCTACACTAAAATGACCCAAATTCTATGAAAAGAACAACTGGACCTGTGTGATTTGTATCAGTTACAGAAACCAAGTAATGTAGTATTTTTTTCTCATGTTGTATAATTGATGCAGCTTTTCCCAGACACCAGACAAGGCAAGGCAAGGAGTTCTGAAACCTCATCCTTTGATTGTTAATAAGTGTGAGTTTTCCTCTTGGGCCACATTCTATTCACAAGATGAAATATCAAAAGTAATGAGTAAGTGATCCCATTGTACCTCTTTCCTTTCTCCCAGAGCAACAATGGAAAGAAGTCCAGAAGACTAGGTTGCACGGACATCGCTTATTAAAATTCTAACAGATGAACAAATTGCAGCCATGCTGAGAGCTCAACCCCTTTTTGTTCCTGTGATTTCTCCCGTTTCAAGATGCTCTAATTCAAGGCAAAGAGTTGCTATTTAAAACCAAACCAACCTGAAACTTTTTACAAGTCGAATGCTGCCTTCTGCAGGGCTTTAAAAAAAAATTTTTTGGCTGCCTTTGCATTTCCGCAGAATATGATAGGCGACACATCCCAAGGGCATCCAGTTAGCCGTTGCAGGAGATAGGAGGAAGATCTGCTCCTTAAAACTATCAAAGCCGTGAAGAGGAACACTGATATATAGCTCTGTGCCATACTTGATACTCTTGAAGACTTTTAGAAGGCATTCCTTGAATGCATGTTTATGCCTTGACTCAGGTCACGTTTTGCACTAAGCTGCTCAGTGATTTATACGCCATGATCTAAGGCATAGCCTTTGCATGAACCAAGTAATTTGTGACTTAGTAAATTACGGCTAAAGCCATTTGTGATCCCAGTGAAAAATTAAACAAAATAGGCTGAAGAAATAGCTTTTTAAGACATTGTCCCGTGAGGGGAATCTAACAGGGATTTCGACTTTTTTTTTTAATTCAATGGTAATTTCAGTGAGAGTGGGTAAACTTTCTACCCTGCAGAATGCTGAGGAAAAGAAGACATATGTCCTTATTGGTGCAGGGAAACAGATTGATCAAAATTGAAAAATGGTTGCAATGTGGCCCTAAGCTCTCTTTCATTGACTCCAGGAGCACGCGGACACTGAAATGATGCATACCACTACGTGGTGCTGGAGCACCATAGCGGCAATGGGAGGCTGCTGGATTATGTGGATAGCCTCATTGCACAATTTAGCCACGAGATGGGGCTGGAGTCAAAATGTATCTAGTTATGTATCTCAGTGGTGAAAATAGGCTCTAGACTCTAGCTGGCATGCATTTTCCTAATGTTATAGGTGCTTTTTTCTATAGTGCAAAGAAGCAGTGCTAGATACATACACATGCAAAGACATTTGAAGTTGTACGTACTGCATTGGGGGCCCAGCATGTACCTAATCATAAGTGGCAGTACATTATTACAATCTGTAGTGCATACATTGCACAGCATTGGGGGGAGATGGGGGGGGATAGGTTTGATAAATAAATAAAATAAAATAAAAGCTAATGTATACACCTGGAGGGGGGGGAGGGAATATGGTTTGATAAATAAATAAAATAAAATAAAAGCTAATGTATACACCTGGAGGGGGGGGAGGGAATATGGTTTGATAAATAAATAAAATAAAATAAAAGCTAATGTATACACCTGGAGGGGGGGGAGGGAATATGTGATGAGGAATAGGTGTGCATTTTCCACAAAAGTCAATATTACAAGCGTTTGCTTGGAAAATGCAATTGTCCTGCACAAGCATGCTAGTTTCTAATTAGTTGTCTTGATCTTTAGCAACAAGTACACATTCCAAGGGCAGAAATACTTAATCTTGCAACTCCCGAGGAAAATGACTACAGTGCTGTGAATATGGAAAGGAAAAGCAGGAGCACTGTTTATGCTTCGCCCGATTACTTGGCCCACATTGTCTCTTCTCCCTCCCCCACTGCCCACCCACAACCTTGTTTATTTACCAGCAGTTGCTGCCCTCTGCTGATCAATGCAGAAACTGAAGAAGAAAAAGGGTTGGTGTGAAGATGACTCGTTCTCCGCCCATAATTCTTATTTATACCTTTTCCCCAGAATGCAGCATTGGCCATGAATCCCAAATGGTTTTGAATTTTTTTCATACCTGTGGCAAAAAGCATGAATAGAGATGTTGAAAGGTCCACATCTGTCACCCCCGATAGGCAGCTGGACTGCAAGAAGTCAGGAAATGAATGAATGAAACAGAGGCATTTAGCCAAAGTTAAGGCAAGGAGAGACAGGATAATTTTTCACGTAGATGGGCTTAATCTGCTTCTGACTACAATAGAAATATGAACCATTTGCTTTTTCCAAAGAAGTAACTATGAATGATTCCAATCCAACATTGCAGAAATGAATTATACTCTTCTTCCAAGTATAAGGTACTGTACATGCAAGTGTTTGATATGATATAGATGGAACAATATCAGGTACATACACAAACACATGCTTCACAACTTAGTATTTACAGACATTTCCAGTGTTCAAAGTGCTTCCCATAATTGTCAACAAATGCTACTGTGTACTCCATTGTATTGTTCCTACCAATAATCTTTGGAGACAGAATTAGTGCAGGGAGATCTGCTGATTATACAGACAGATTTATGTAATGTGAATTAAAACATAAAATAGAAGTCTTTTAGATTAGAACTTGACCTGCAGTCCCATGCAATTAATAGCAGACTTTTTTTTGGCAAAGAAATAAAAGCAATGGAAATGTTTGTGTTTAATTTTTACTTGTCACATTGTTAGCAGACAGAGCCTCCATCAGGATAAATTAGCAATGGTTTGAGTTTCAGCAACTGTGCAGCATAGTACAAATGACATCCTTAGGTTAAAGTATGGGGTTTGTGCCAGCTGGGTGGGAGCATCTGGCTGATCTTGAAAAGCTAAGCAAGGGCAGACCTGGTTAGTATTTAGATGAGAGTCGTTCATGGTGAAATGCTGGGTTGTAGGCTAGACTGGGAAAGTCAAAACCATCTGGGAAGAAGGCAATGGCAACCACCTCTGTACTGTTGCCAAAAAAGCTACATGAAGTCTCATGTAGGACTCGTGAAGTCATCAAAGGTTGAGCTGAACTCAAAGACTTCACTTTTATCAGGCTTGTATTGTGAAGAGGGGGAAATATTCTCTGATCTAGAAGGTGTCGTGCAGATCCTTCACACTAAAGTTTTTCTGAATCTGATTGTGCCAGTGTCCTCATTCTGCCTTTGCTTTGTTTTCTGAAGTATGGCAATACTGTCCAATAGTCAACCAATCCCCCCCGCACAAATTATATCACATTCCCAACAGAGGAACCAGGCTCCTTGCCAGTGTCAGAATCAGTTTTTGAACAATGATTTTCCCAAGGGATACAACTAGGTATATTTGCCACTGAGGAAAACATGCAGTGCAATACAAGGGCCTCCCAAAGACTGCCAAGTAACCAGGAAAGACATAAGGTAACATGTTCCCGTCTAGTGCACAGAAATCAATAGCTGAAACACGTCATGGCTTCAGTTTGAGAATCTGCCAGCATCTGCTTATGAAACTGCTCTTAAAGGTCCTGCTACATTGGTTGGCTGAAAAGTTGGCAAACTGGGAAACGGGGAATGAGAGAGAGAAAGAATTTAAAATATACCAAAGCAATAATGCACAAAAGGGTTCTTATAAAAGGGCAATGGAACGGTTGAATCAGTTCCTTAAAACACTCGTCTCCCCCATCCCACTTGAGACAATGATTCTTGCCAGGCTTGGGATAAGCCCTCGCTCAGTTTCACCTTTCCCTTTCAGTGTTTTAGTACAGTCTGAACTGCCCTGTATGTCTTGTCTTTTAAAAGGACTACACAAACAGTGCTGCTTTAGATTGGTGATTGTTTTGATAGGCTGTGTTGCCTAAGCAATGAGAGCTGACCTTTACTCAGGGGAATAAAAAATTACTAGGTGTCTTCAACATACAGAAGCAGGTGTGATGTTCTTCTCCAGCAAACCCCACCTTCCTGAAGTCACCAACTCAGCAACACCTGGTACAAAGCCTTCCTGGTTCCACTTCTGTTTTCCTTCTCCTCCCCTCCCTTTTTTGCCCATAAAATACAACTTAGAACGAGTTTGGCGACAGCAGCATTCAGTTTCTCTGTATACAAAGGAGTTTCGGTCAAAGTAGCCCAGTGCGTTTAGCTGGGGACATAGAGGAGGGAAGACAACGGACACCACAGGTGTGGCTGCAGTAGGACTGAGCAAGTGGACAGGTAAATGTTTGCTCTCTTTGATGTCTGATTCTGAGTCAGTGGGAGCTTCAGGATTTCAGGAAGGGTATCCTCAAACCATCTTTATACTTGAACCGGCAGAAAAGGATTCTCAGCCTGCCTTTGATCTTCCTAGCTGGAGGCTCTCTGCAAAATGAAGATGGCAACCAGAGTTTGCAATGGGGCACTCTTGGCAGGGACTCAGGAGGAATGAGAACCTGCCATATTTTGGAGCCGTTCCTGATTACAGGAGGAGGAGGGAGGAAAATGCCATTCTCTTTAGCATCAGGGAAGGGAGGCAGAATTTAGAAAAAAGAAAATGTTTCACAAGCTGCTTTGGGCTTTAGATAGAACTTCAGCAAACTGAGAAATGAAGCAGTCCAACTCCTTCTAATTCCAGAGCCATAAGGGACTGTTAGGGGAATTCTGCAGCAAATGTGGAGCTGAGAGCCCTGCCTGGTACCACACAGCCAAATCTCTTGGATCCTAATCCAGAATCTTTTTCAGCAGGGATCACCAACAGATGCCCAACAGGAGAACTTATCCAGGCAGACCAACCCAGGAGAAACCTCTGCTAGTTCCCATAACAGCTTCTTGGGGTTGATTGCTTGGTCAGCAGCATGCGGACCCCGACCCCCATGATTGTGGGCATTGTGCTTGGTCCCTGTGGCCTTGTCTTGAACCTGACAAGCACGCTGGCACCCAGCTGGAGGGATGTGACTGGATTCCTTGACAAGCCAATAGATGTGATTCAGCACCAGGGCATCTGGGATATTTGCAACGAGCGCCAGAGCACCCACACAACTGATTGCAACATTCCAGACACCCTTGATTACTTTACCAAGCTGCCTGTGCAAGTGGCCAGAGGGCTCATGCCCTCTTCTCTCGCAGTCACAGTGTTGGGGCTGGTTGTGGCTTCCTTGGGTGTGCGATGTTGGCAGGACCTGCCCCACTACCTGCTTGCGGGGCTAGGTGGCCTGGTGCTCTTTGTTTCTGGCTTGCTAAGTTTGATTGCAGTTTCATGGTACAATTATGAATTGTATGACTTACCTTCTCCTTCTTCCACTACCGTGCACGTAGCCTATTGCTTGGTTCTTGGATACTTAGGGAGTTGCCTGGAAATTATTGGAGGCATCTCACTTACTTTTAGCTTTGGCCAATGCTGCAAAGAGTGTAGACCAAAGAAAGGCACCATGAATTCCAGGTATGCAACCAACAACCAGCAGAGTCCCTCAAATGTTGGCACCATCTCCGCCTCCATCAACAGCAGAGAGATCCACAGGCAATCTCAGAATCCTATGCCCAGATCCTACAGCAATTCTCTGGATGTACTGGAAGGGGAACGGACCTGGAGTCAGAGCAGGAGCAAACTTCCCTGTGACACAGATGTATAGCCCTAAACTTATGAATTCTCACAAAGCCAAACAAGGAGGAAGACTCTTGGTGTTACGCTGTGAAATGCCCAGCCAGGAATGTCCCCTTACCAATTTAACGTTTTTCCTTCCCTCTTGACCAATGAACACATCAAAGAGACTCTGGAGCGATACATGATTTATGCATTTTCTCAGGATGCTGGTATATTGCTTAGGCAACATATATTATTATCACAGCACACTGGAAAAGTATAAATGGAATGAGCCATACCCTTGACCGGGTCTGTATTGCTAGCAATTTGGAGATGAAGTGGGCTGAGGACACACTGAAGTGAACCATCTGGTCAGTAAGTAATAGCAGGAGTCAAAAATAAGTATTCTAAGATATTGTAAAAGATCTAAATATAACTTTAAGCCGCAAGCAAGACACTGAACTGAGCAGAAGCCTCATTAGGCTGCAAAAACTTACTGCTGAGTAGCCATGCATAGGATTGCCTTGCTGAGTATTAAGAACTGTTTTTACAGTGGCGCAGCTTAGAGCTGTTAAGACTTTGCTTTTCCACTGTCAGCTGAAAAGCTGAAGGGAGACTTAACAGAGATTCCACACAACTTTTAATACAAGGCTATAACGCTCTTCATTAATTATTCCTCCATGTGTTTAGGCACAGATGGAAAGCTGCAGGGGGAACATATGCACATTTCTTTGAATGTGTGTACATTCATGTGGAGAAGCAGGAATCAGTTGCACAGAGAAGTCTATATATGTACATGTCCCTGAATGCAGATCAGTTGCTCTTAAGACTTTCTGCTAAGGCTGTGCCAAAATATGCCTTGCAATTTCTCAAAAGTGTTTTTTTTCCACCCAGAGAGGTTTCTGTTTTTCTCATATTTATAAGGTACTTGAAAGGTTCCTTCACATTTTTCTTGACGGTGTATAGAGCCTGCTCTATTGTCAGGCAAAGGGTGTGAGTGCCAATAGAGTTTCTGGGATCTCTCTATTTCTCTGAAGTCTCCATGCCACTCCAGCCTTCCCAGTGGAAAAAAGCCCAAGGGAGTGGCTCCTTCATAATGTTTTATTCTGGGATTCAGTGACTGAAGTGTGAGAGCCAGCAGTGTGCAGACTGCTCCTGAGAGGACCGTATAGTGAAAGACAGGACAGTAGCACGTTCCTTGGCCACCTCTTTACTAAAGAAGTGCAAGGACATCCCATTCCACCTTTGAGGATTTCACCAACCATCTCTTCTCCTTTTCAACAACATTTGGAAAACAATTTCTCTTACCTCAAACTGAATGAAAACTAGTTGGTAGAAACACTGCAGAGCAATCTTCTGTACAATCTTGCATTCTGCTCCACATGCAGCGTTTAGAATAGAGCCCACTGGGCCACTTCAAAGATTCCCTTGAGCTGAGCTCAGCTCTTGATACCTTCATGAACATGTCCTCATGGTGTCCTTGACTGCAGTGCAGGTGGGTGGTCATTACCTTCTTTAGGAGTGTTTTTTTTTTTTCATTTTCCCAATCTAAACTATAGTCTTGAGGTTTCTTGGTGACCTCCCATTCTGGTACTAACCAGGTCCAACCTTGTTTAGCTTTTTTGAGATCAACCAGGCTCAGCCAGGGGCTGCTGCCTGGTATCGCCCACTTCTGATAGGTTTTGAATTACGCAGCAGTTCCTCTCCCCTGGCCAAGATCCTTCTATATTGTCTCCTACAATGTTCCACATGGGTTCTTTCATTTCTCTTCGGATATTGTGCCTGCAGTATTAAAAATGAATTTGGTCAGTGTCTAATGCCTAGATGGGAAAAACACTTGAATTCCTGCTTGCCTTTATGTATTCTCTTTATGACAAGGGAAAATATGATTTTAATAAGGAATGTAATAAGGGGACACTACCGCAGACTATCTTGCCACACTGAACAAATCATACTAAAAGAATTAGCATCTACAGATGGGTAGCTTTTAATTAAAGGCACAGGAACCCATAATTGCAAAACAACAACAAAACAACAAATAAGGTCTGAACACACAGAGGACAAACATACATTGAAATGGAGTCATTGTGTAATAATGCAGTTTGGATTAACTGAATAGTTATGGTGATTTCTGAGAAAAGTGTTCAAGCAGCTAGAGTTACTTTTTGCCAAGCTATTAGGCAGCCTAATCCTGCTGTAGGATTCTTTGAAGGGTTTTTCCCCATAAGAAAGCTGAGAATTTGGAGGAATGCTGACTTACTGGAAGGATATGTTCTGTATAGTAAGTTACCAATGAAGCTTAATTAGATCCTGAAGTATTTTCAAGATTTATATAAATACCAACTTGTATTGGTTTTAACTGGTTCATGCAATAATGCGCAACCTTTGGCTATACTTGGAAGCTATACTAAAATACAGTAAGCTGAAAGATTTGGTAGATATGGATGAAATGCTGCTGAAGATATACTTTTTTCCCCTGAAACTGAAATCCAGGTATAATAATAACCACCTTTAAAATTCAGGGCAGTTAAATTATTGCAAGGTACTGATTGCATTTCATTTAGAATGGTCATATTTATACATGTAGCCCTTAAATCTTATGTATTTATTTCCTTGTTGATTCTTTTATTTGTTGTATTTTTATGTTTTGTGTTTAGTTTGGTCTAAAACAACTTTTTTCCTTAAGTTTGAAGGAGCCAGGCTTCCTTTCTGCCTACAGACCCAGTGTTTACTTATCTCAGGTTTATTTGCCTTTTATTAATTGAATATGTTTTTGAACCAAATTTAAATCAGTCTATTTACATCTTAACAATAATGGGATCAGCAGTCTTGCAGCATGCCATTTCTCTCTTTTCCATTTTTTTTAAACATCTGCTTAACTAACCAAGCTACGAGGGGTTTAATTTATCCCTGCTGAAATCAGAGCTGGAAAACTTTTTCAAGACCGAATGCTCAAAAAGTTATGTTTTTTGAAGGGACTCTCAAGGTAGTGGCTGGGACTAGGGCAAAAACTGAATGTAATTTCATTTTGTTTACATTTAAAGGTAATTAAATTCAGTAGTTTTAACTGATTATTTTTCAGTCAAGTATTTAATACTTTTCTCCTCTCTTTTATATTAAAATGTCAGTTTGGTAACAACTTTTGAAGTCTCTGGAGACACTGATTGTACATCTGTGATGTCAATTAATGTACAATGATTGCATCCTGAGTTAACTGGGGTGTATTCTGCTCCAAGTATTTAAAAAGAGAGCAAAGAAAATATTTTGGGTAGCTATTTATATTATACATTCTTTCTTTTTTAAGGGGCATGCAGGTGAGTGATTATGGTACCGTTTCAAGGTCATTTGAGGCACGTTTTGCCTGTTTCTATAAAAACCAGAAACATCTATGCAAATATGTCTCTGCCAAAACCACAACTGTCAATCTGTAATATTTGGATATGCAAATAATTTTATCAAAGAGTAGTGTTCCCCAACCTTGTGCTGTCTTAGGGACCACTAAGCTCAGAGTTTGCGACTGGAAATTATATCACAATTCCAGGAGAGAAACCCAGGGATAGAGTTAGGGTTGCATTCTGGGTTTGTTGAAACTTCAAATGGTCTTCAAGGAAACCCCCATGTACAATATGTTGCAATAGTTGAGCAGTGAGGTTACTAGGGCATTAGTGACTGGAGAGCTTAAAGGGGCATAATTGGTGCACCAGACAGAGCTGTGCAAAGGCCCTCTTGGCCACAGCTGTATCTGCTCTTTGAGCAGGAGCTGTGAGCCCAAGAGAGTCCCCAAGTTGCACACCACTCCTGACTGGGGAAGTGCAATCCCATCCATGAGTGAAGATGCAAAATCCCTAGACCTAGGTAGTTCCAACCATAATTACTTGGTCTTGGTAGGATTCAGCCAGAGTCACCATCCAGGCCCACAGAGCCTCCAGGCAATGGGATAGCCTCACTTGTGTAGCCTGGGGCCAAAAGATATAATTGGGTATCATCAACATACTAATGATACTGGACCTCAAACCAGCAAATGACCTCACCCAGTAATTTCATGTAGATGTTGAACAAGAGGGGAAAAAGCATTGAGCCCTGTGGCACCCCACAAAGGAGGGGCCTGAGAAGTGACCTCTCTTTCCCCACCAACACTAATTGGAACTGGTTGTGAAAGAAGAGAACCACCATAATATAGAGTCCCCAAGTCCCAGTCCCTGGAGCCAGTCTAGAAGGACACCACGGTTAATGATACTGAAAGCCACTGAGAGATCAAGGAACACAAGGATAGATGCACCACCCCCATCCTGGTTCTGCCACAGGTCATCAACAAACATGACCAAGGCTGCCTGCATACTGAATCCAGGGTTTCTCATCCTCAGCAACTTTAACATGGGTGGACTTTGACTTCAACTCCCAGAATTCCCCAGCCAGCATGGAAGTTGAAGTCCACCCATCTTAAAATTGCTGAAGTTGAGAAACACTGCTGTAACCCAAATGATATGATCTAGATAATCTGTTTTCTCCAAGGTCCTCTGTAACTGCACAGTGACCACCCTCTCAACAATCTTTGCAATAAAAAAGGTTGGAGACAGGATGACAGATATCTAAAACAGTTGAGTCCAGGGATGGCCTCCTTGAGGATGGGGTGCACCACAGCCTCCTTCAAGGCAGGAGGTACCACTTGTTCCTCAAAGAGGCTGACAGCATTGCCAGGAGGGGTCTAGGTCCAGGAAACAGGTGGCTGAACTAACAGTAGAGAACCCTGTCTACTTCCTTGAGAGTCACTGACTTAAACTCATCCCAGATCACACCAGCAGAACATGCCCTCGGCACCTTGGATAGACCTACCTATTCAGAGTCCATGTCAGGGCAGATCTGAGTGACTTTATCTGCCAGATAGCCAAAATATCCATCAAAGCGGCCTTGCAGATGGTTCTGGGGCTCAATCACACCTAGCAGGGATTAGGTCACCCTAAAAAGGGCTGCTGGATGGCTATGTGCAGATGCAACAAGGATGGAGAAATATTGACATCTCGTTGTTGTTATCACCACAGAGTAATCCCTAACATGGGCCCTTATCTGTGTTCTATCGAATCTGTTCCAAGTGTTCTTCCAGTGGCTCTCCAGGCATCTCTTCTGATATTTCATCTCAGTGAACAAGGTGAGCCCCTGGAGCAGACCATAGCAAGAGGCCCCACAAGGGCAATGTGGTCCCAGCCACTGCCCATTCCAGGCAGCGACTGAGACTTCAGCCAAATGGCCCACCAGATCTTTCGGGAAACCCCCAAACTCCATCTGGAATCCCATAGGGTCCATCAGGGTGATTGGTCCATGGCAACAGACTGGTGTTAATGTCCTCAATTACCTGATCACACTGCAACTGCTCTGAGACAAAAACCAGACCTAATGTGCTGCTACCAGTATGTGTTGGGCCACTGATGGGTTGGGACAGGTCCATGGTTGTCAACGAGGTCATAAATTCCTGGGCCACCCTGGACTCAATGCCAGCAGGCAGCAGATTGAAATCTCCGAGCACCAAGAGCTTCGGAGACTCTATTGCTAGCCTGGTAATGGAATCCAGTAGTTCAGGCAGGGATGGTGGTGAACCCCCTTCACTGCTGCCCAGCATCAACAATCCCAACTGTTCCCTACAGCCCAATTTTAACCAGAGCACCTCACATCCCATTATCTGTGGAGCACAGCCTCAGGGAGCCTGCAAGAAATTGTGGATAACAATAGCTGCTCTCCCCCACTCCCATGGGGTCAGCACCCTCATCCATAATAAGATCACAGATGAGGGCAGCCTTATTACAAACTGACCAGGCATTCAAAAGCAGCAGCCAGAGCCCAGGGCCACCAAGGATCCAAAAACCAAGCACTAAGGGTTGAACCCAGGGGCCAGAGTGTGGGTCTACTTGCAAACAGCGGGCCAGACACCTGCTATACCTTCCTCTGCCTGTCACTGCCCATATGTATGTATCATATTTATATGGCTGCCCATCTCACAAAACATGACTCTGGGCAGCGTACAATCAAACCATAAAAACAATTTTAAAGAACTTTCAACAAATACAAAAATGAAAATTACTATTAAAAGGCTGGGAGAGAGTGTCAGATACTATGCACAATGGAGCCACCTTATCAGATCACCATTCCCTTGTGACCCCCAGGCCTGTTGGCACAAGCAGGTTTTGAGGGACTTCTGGAAGGTCGGCAGAGATGGGGCCAGTCTCATCTTGGGAGGGATGATGTTCCACAGAAGGGGTGCCAGGCAGATGTTTCTGCTTGCTCCCTCTCCTTCCTCCTTCCTCCAAGGCCAGGGCA